ATTTGTAAGAAACAGAGCTGACAGCTGGCTTAGCTTTGAGAGCTGGAAGCAGAGAGTGGGGGAGGCTCCTTTGCTGCCATGTGCTGGTGCAGGGCTACATCCTGCGGGTCCTGGCTCCGCCATGCCTGGAGGCCTCAGGACCTCATCCCAAACTTGGTGTTTGTAGAGTGGAACAAGGGCTGCAGCAGCCTCCCCGAGTTCCTCGCAGTGCTTCTTGGTATTTGGCAGTTGTGGTTGTGGTAATTGGTGTTGACAAGCTTATTTGAATAAAAAATTTATTGCCATGTGAAGTTGGTTTGCTTTTGATGGTGCCCACAGTGGTGTTGGGGTGAAGGAAGTGCAGCCGCTCTCTGCCTGATGAGCCCAAGGACCCACCAGGCAAACCCCGCAGGACTTGTGCTGCTGAGTGTAGTCAGTGTGTTTGAATGAACTGGCTCTTTGGCTGAAGTGTGTTAGAGCAAATTGCAGAAGGTGCTGCACATCCCTTTAAAATGTTTCTCTTTGCCCTTTTCATTGGGTGAGTGAAAACAACAAAGCAAGCACAAAGTGTGTAGCGTATTTCATATGTTTTACTTTGTGCTTAGCAGTGTATGGCAGAGCTGCTCTCCTCGGATCTCCTTTATGGACTACAGAGCTGCTGGTTGGGTGGGAAGGGGGAGGAGGGAGGATGCGGCAGGGGATGATGGGATCTCTTTGTTTGATTTGATTTGATTTTTACTCCTTTCATTGAACTGTGATTGTGGTATCATCTGATTTACAGAGTTAAAATCCCTCACTGAGTGTTGCACTTGGCTCAGGAATCTTGTCATTTTGGATGGGGGGAAAAAACCCCCCACCCCAGTGCTGTGGAAAAGCTTCCAGAGAGTGGCAGAGGTGTGCTTAAATACATATGTGGTACAGACACTGAAAAAACCCCTTGGCAAAATTGGTCACTTTAAAGGGATCAGGACGTTTAAGTCCATGTGTATATTTTTTTAATGATGAGTGTTTAGGAAATGCACTTAAGATGCATCAATCAATTTCTCATTTCATTGTAAACATCCTGTGCTGTTTTCTGGGAAAAGTTGTGAAAACGGCTATCAATAAAAAGGTGAATTTGATCATCACTTGGCTTGATTTTCAAGCTTAGTGAAATTGAAAGGTAAATAAGATGAACAAAAAGTGAAAACTAAATTCTCCTCCTTTCCCCCCCCCCATAACGTACAATCCTGTATGTCTCCATGGTGTTTGCAGCAGTGTTATGGATGACTGTGAGCAGCCAATGTGCCTCTGGAGACCAACCCCTGTGCAGCAGCTCAGTGAATGCCCCAGCCTGGCCCACTGAGTCTGTCAGTGAAAGCAACTGGCCTCCTCATCCACAGTTGCTTGCAGGAGTTGTTTTCTTTACCAAACTGTGGCTGAAACAAAGGCATTCCCCTCCTGGTCCATGGCTCTGAGTGCCTTTTCAGCCTCTCTACGCTGCTTCGCTCCCTTTGCATGCTCTATGTGTGTGTCGTCTCGAGATGGGAAGATGGGCTGTACTGCCTTAAAAACTGATTGTGTGCGTTCCTCTTTGTGAATTATTTTGTCTACAGAGGGACCAATCTGGATTACTCTTGCTTTGGCATCCAGTGATGCAGTGAGTGCCTTTTGCCCTGCTTTCCAAGCTTGCATGCCCTGTGGTGGTGGCAGAGCCGGTGGGCTCAGCACCACTCACCCACCTGAGGCACCTCAACTGCCCAGAGCCTCCAGCTGCCGACAGGGCAAGTGCATTCCCCCTTCTCTGTTGGAGGACATTTCAGGTTGTACTGGCACTCGTGGTGTCCATTGCATTTGGTCTTATTGCTTGCTGAGTTGTAGTGATGTGGCCTGAACCCAGATCTGCTCCCAGTGGTAGGGTGTAAATCCCTCATTCTTGGCTGGCAGAAACGAGCACATGGGAGCAGGGACAGCATGGGGAAGAACCTGCAGGCTGCCCAAGTGCGCTGCGCCCCAGATTTATGCCACAGGTCAGTCTCTTGGACCGCAGAGGCCATAAATCAGTGCAGAATTTGTCCCAGGGTCGGGGGCCATATGGTGTGTGGGAGCAGGAGAGGGAGAGTGATGCCCACGCCAAAGGAGAATAAAGGCCTGTGTTTGGGGCCGGAATATTTCAAAGCCTGAGAAAGGGGCAAAGTTCAGTTTCTAATTGAGTGCTTTGAAATATATAGATGTATATGGTCAATGTTTATCTTCCAGAACAAAGCTCACTTTGTTTTTCAAATGTTTGTGTGTTGGTGCTGAGAACTGTTCCTGGGGGTCTCCAGCACGAGAGGCTCCTCTGGGGCTGCTGGGGGTGTGGGTGCCCCCGGCGCGTGTCAGCAGCCTGGCCCTGCTGTCCCAGACGCCTACTTGGAGGCATTGGTGAGTATTTGTGGGGTTTCCTGTCTTTGGTAAGGTACTTGTATGGCTCCCAGTGCGTGTACACATCATTATCTCAAACCAGTGTACATTTACATTTGTAAGAATTATTATATACAAA